ATCGCCCGGATGGTCTAGTGGTATGATTCTCGCTTTGGGCTCTATAGTACCAATCTGCGAGAGGCCCCGCGTTCGAACCGCGGTTCGGGCCACTTTTTTGATCGATGCTACTGTGTGGTACGGAAAATGGGTGCTGATTTGACCTTTAATATGTATTACAATTAATTTCACGACTCGGAAGGAGATATGTAGGTGTCTCTCTCTCTCCCTTCTTCCATATTTTCACTTATAACTACCCTATAGAACAATTAGAAGGAAGTATGAATCTCAGAACTGACAGAAGGCATATCTATTTTGGTGACCCTCTCTGGATCTGAATGGGGAAAATACCACCGACAATACTTTCACACATTACATAGTAGAGTTGAGATATACATGGCCAGGTCTAACCATGGTCTACAAACACTGCCACAAAAATAAATCGAACTACACGTCCCATACAAATTGCGGCAGAGTTCTTATGTATCGTGCAAACCGAGATATTTGACAAACAGTACATGATATGAACCAACATTAGATTTGAAGATTAGAAAAAGAAGAAAAGAAAGAAAAACTCATACTCGGATGGAGTAAGCTATATGCTTCTTTACCTCACCACTTCTATTCTAAGAAGTGCATGTCTCACGGGTTCTTTTTATTCAGTCGGGGAACCGAACACTTCCATATGAATCCGGTCCTCCTTCACACCCAGATCTTTCAGGGAATTGCTCTGCGCATTCATGAACAGCTTCGGACCACAGATATAGTAATCCGCATCCGGGAGAACGGCCTGTTCCTTAATCTTGTGGAGATCCGCCCTACCTTTAAAATCATAGTCGACGCCCTGCTTGTCCCTTTTACTGACCTCTTCATAGAACACCGCGCGATGAACCTGTGGATTCTCCGAGATAATCTTAGCCAACCGGTCCTTCATCGCATGCACGCGACCATTTCGCACAGCATGAACGAAGACCACGCGTCTCGACCCTCCCTGATCCACAATAGTTGTCAACATCGATATCATAGGCGTAAGCCCCACCCCACCACTAATAAGCACAACAGGCGTAGTAGCATTGACATCCAACACGAAATCCCCAAACGGCATACTAACATCCAGCTCCGCGCCGACAGGTAAACCCTCATGCAGCACATTCGAGATACGACCGGCGGGCTTCTGTCCTAGCGCGAACTCCCTCTTCACGGAAATTTGGAAGTACTCTCTATTCGGCACATCCGACAAGCTATACTGCCGGGGCTGATAGACCCCCAGTTCCGGGACAAAGCACTTCACACTAACGAATTGACCAGGCTTATACACCGGCAATGCACCCTTATCGAAGGGTGTGAGGTAGAATGAAATGATCTCCTCTCCCTCGTGGATCTTCTTCGAGATGAAGAACTTCCGCCACCCCTTCCACCCACCCGGGGTTGCCTCCGCTTGGCGGTAAAGCTCGCGTTCAAAGTCAATGAAGTACCCCGCCAGTTCCCCATATGCGGCTTTCCAGGCGTCGAGGACTTGGTCGTTGACCGCGTCGCCAAGTACCTCTTTGATGGCGGCGAGAAGACCCTCTCCGACGATCGGGTATTGGTCCGCTGTGATCCCCAGACTGGCGTGTTTATGGCCAATGCGGGAAATGGCTGTTTTGAGGGCTTCCGGACGCTCGATGTTGGTGGCGTAAGCCCATACTGCGTGGGCGAGGGCGGCGGGTTGCTCGCCTGTTGCTTGGTGGGCAGTGTTGAAGATGTTCTTGAGTTCGGGGTGCTGCTGGATGAGGCGCTGGTAGAAGAGGGTAGTGATTGCGATGCCGTGGTCTTGGAGTGCGGGGATCGTGGACTTGACGATTTGGATTTGCTGAGGGGTGAGCTTGTTTCTGGAGACTGTTGTTGTGAATTGGAAGGCTCTGGTGAGCGGGAGTGCCTTAGGCCTGAGGCGGGGGATAACGAGCCTTGGGATGAACATCGTTTTGGTTAGCATTGTTATGAGAGTATTGGGCTTACATATTCTGTTCATGTTCCATGGGGTACGGGGGAATAAGACTTTAAACCGTGGGCTTTACGGATGATTGAGTTTTGATGATGTAAATTAGGGTTTGAGTTGACTTGAGTGTGACGTGACATTATCCAATATATAACCGTAACCCATAAACCTAACCTCACGGGTTGAAGATGCTACATGTTGAGCGTTCTGTCACTCGACCAAAGTACCTTTGGCATTTGGTCGTGCCTCCAACCGAACAATCTGGCCAACATTACATTAACTATTTAATGATTGGAGCTGTTGGTGCTACTCATATATACTTAGATTGGAGGGATTTATTCCTACACAAATCATGTTGATAGATGGAAGCAAACGCAATCAATCAATCTAGGGATTCAACTAGTTTCCCTTTACGGGTGAAGCTTACAACCCTCACAGGGCTGCGGCGGCAGCGTACTATAATACAACGTCGGCCTAGGCTCCCCGGAAACGTTCAAAAACCCTTTCGCACCCTTCTCCAGACGAAAAATAGCGTGATCCACAATTGTATAAGTCCCTGGAACAACCATCTTCATATCTACGATAGTTGACCCGCCGGGGGGCACACTGACCGTCTGCACGCACTGCCCGGGGGAACTCAGCACATCCGAATCACGATAGACCTTATTAAAACAGCTCCCGATGACATGAAACGAGCTAGTTAGATTCGGGCCTCCATTCCCGAAGAAGATGCGAACGGTATCATCAAGCGTAGCCTTGAGCGGCTTCTCGGTTAGGGCAGCCTCGCTGCCATTGAACACCACCACGTCGGCTGCTTCGCGTAGCGCATGCGGCCACGAGAACTCGACCGTCGATGACATCTGGCCGTCATCGTCTGGCTCGGGCGGCTCGTGGTAGAACTCGCTTTGCATTACGTAGTACTCTTTGTCGACAGGGGGTAAGTCTTGCTCTGGCTGCACGTATATGAGTCCGTACATGCCGTTGGCGATGTGGACGCCCACTGGGCCTACGGCACAGTGGTAGATGTAGAGACCGGGGTTTTGGAGCTTGAATCTCGCTGTTTTGGTCTCGCCTTCGTTGACTGTGGTTAGGGCTGAGCCGCCGCCCGGGCCCAGGAAGGCGTGGCAGTCTATGTTGTGTGGCATACCGGAATCGTCGTGGTTGGTTATTTTCAGGTTGAGCACGTCGCCGACGCGCGCGCGGATGAATGGGCCGGGGACGCTATTGTTGAATGTCCATTTTTCGTATTTGTACTGGTTTGTTAGTTGTTCTAGTTTTGAGACTGTTGTGAGGTCTACGTCTAGGATGACTGGATAGTCTCGTGTGATCGGTGGGGGGACGTTGGGGGCGGTGGTGAGGATTGCTTTCTCTGTTGGGAGGTTCTCACTACCTAGGGACTTGGACGTCTCTTTCTTCGTGTCTTGAATTCCGTTATCGGGAGCTAAGGGGTCGGGGTGGGTGAAATAGTTCTCGTCGCCGTCTAGTTTAACAGCGCCATGTTGTTGAGCGTAGAAAAGCCAGCTGAGCGTGGCGGCAGTGGAAAGGAGCAGTGCATATTTGGCTCCCGTACTGCTATTGTATCTCTCACTTGGGATCCCTTTCTTGGATTCGGTTGAAACCTGCCTCTCACCGAGTGGACGCCGTAGGGGAGAGACCAGCGACTGGCTAGGGAGTAATCGGGGCGAAAGCCGTCTGGCTCCCCGAATAGTAGTCACTGACGCATAGCGACATTTGGTACGATATAAGGAGCTGAACGCAGTGTTCATCATGAGAGGTATTCCCACGTATAGTATTTACAATGCACTGAAAAGGTAACTATACAAGGTGAAAGATCCAGTGATGAACAATTCTGTACCAATTTATACACACAAGCCACGAGCCACAAAATACACGAACTCCGAGGAAATCTGCAATTCCTAGGACACCCTCCATCATCTAGAATTCACCTTCCCATAATATCACAAGAACCTATAAGGTCTGGTGTTGGGTCCGTCAAATCGGAACGAAGCGAAAGTGATCGATTCCACGGTTGAGATGTCATGTTATGCATAAGGTTACCGGGATCGGCCATGTCATGCGGACAAATCGATCTTATTACGAGAGCAAAAGTAATGTGCCACCTGTGATTGATGCTGCATGATTCAAGATGTCTTAAAACATACCCTTACCTCCGCAAATCCCGCTGCGGACCGAAGACCCTGTTCTGCTGTGGAACAAGAATTATTATGCAACACATTCGCCACGCCACTTTACTCTGTAGATTATGAGCCACTGGCTGTCTGTATAGGTAGTCATCGGATCAATTGCATGCAGTGTAGTACTTTTGTTCAAGCGGGGCTGGGCTGTGAAGCCACGAAAATTATTCAGCTGAAGGAACAGGAGTGGAATGACGATCTCATCCCTTTCGGATGGCCAGCGAAGACAAGGCTGGTTCTTGGAAGTTGAGATGGGATGCTGTGAATGTAGTGTTAGTTAAAGTACACTAATGTATGTGTGTATGTATGTAATCAAGTGAAGGTCCATGTTCAACCACTTAGTCTCTCATCTTTCTCTCCTCTATTTACCCTTCTTTTAAGAGGGGAGGGGGTGGGGGGGAAGTAAAAAAAAAAAAAAAAAAAAAAAAAAGGTAAGGGTACTTCCAGATCGTAAGCCTACAGGCGCTCGTCGGGATACTATGAGGCTGCCAGCCTTAGGAGTTTAGCTCTAAATTTATGATGTCCCAATTGGAGCTGTTAAGTCAATCTTTAAATAGTGTGTCGTGTTGGTTTGTATAAGATTCGAAATAAAAGAGTGAATACAGACTCCAAGCCCGCTCCCTTCTTCCCCTTTAACACACACTCTCTACTCAACACTAGACTCTTTGACATAACTCGCTGGTATTAGCCCCAAGTGATCGCAATTACGCCGTCTATGCTTCCTTCTTTAAATTCCTGCGGATCCTAAAGCTCTTCACCAGAGTATGGCACTCATGAATACAGGAACGCTTGTGATCGGCGAGTTGCGCGATGACGAGATTGAACGCGACGATACAGTTCGTGGCATTCTTAGGCATCTTATTGTCAACATTCTCATCGATTCTGAAAATACTCACCTCTATTCCTCGAGACTGTTCACGGAAGAGGATGGGGAAAAATTTGAAAATAGATGCGACCTAACAGCAGATATCTGTTCCATTCTGGAGGTGATGGCTACCATTAAGAATGTGAAGCTACTGCAGGTAACTTGGTTCAAACAACGGCAGCAGTCGCTTTTACGTGAAGCTTTAATATCAGGATCTGTTAAACCACAGAGGGTTAGCAATTTTATTGCGATAACGTGGGAGGATATGGTACAAGCAAAGATTGACGGCTCGGAACTGGCTTTCGACTACGAGGAGCCGCCTTGGAGGGTTGTACCAGGGAAGAAGCCACATGATTATGGACAAGGGCTTGGTAGACATCATATTGGAAAACTATATCCCCTCAATGTGGCTCTTGCTCAAATGGCCCTGGATAAGGAACACACGACGACAAAGAAGAGAACTTCTACACCCTGCGCGACAACAAGGACCAACCGGATGGAACTAACGGACAGAAAGATATATCCCCGCCCAGTCCATTCGTCTCTGGAGGAAACAACCGATGTAGGCATTGGCAGTTGTGAAAAGTGTCTTGAACCGGCTAACCATGGTAGACCTCGTATGAAATATACGCACATGTTGAGTTTCCAGTCATTGGCCACGTGCTGTACATACTATCTCTCCACCTGTTTGAGAATGGCTATCGGGAATTAAGGCACATACCATATTACAGGATCATCCAGAGTTACAATGGGCCCCATAAGGTGACAGGCCAGCTTCTCAAGATTACTGACTCTAGCCTGGAGGCATTGGAAGGCAAGCTGATTACTGTTGATTTGTAAGGTGATTGGCATTGAACAGCACAGAAGTAAGCTAACTAGATGAAGACTGGACAATATCAGGCTTAAGCAGTCAAAATACCTTGTAACTTGGCCAAGGAACAGGGGGTATCTCGACTATGTCACCGATGATCGAGACAAGAGATATTGGCGACCTTACGTTGGTCAGTTATTCAATGTTGAAAAGCGTATCAAGGAACATATTAAAGGGTCCACGAGAACAATACCAGATTCACTACATTACTTCGTGATCCATAAGGGTAATGGAATGAGAGCGATGAACTTCATTCGGCTCTGGTCTTTCACAGATCACCAGTGCTTTGACCAGGAAACGAAGAGTGTATTTTCGAACATCCTTGAGATGGCCTTCGCATTTGCTTTTCAGTCCTTGCCCCCTAATATCCTCGAAAAGTATTTTGGTCGCCTACACGGAATTTCGTATTCTGGTCTTGGCTTGAATGTTATTGGGAGACCTTATCAGGTCGACTATCGATTCAATAGCAGCCCCGCCTTGAACTATGTCACAATTGACTTGAAACATATCTAATCAAAGCTTGCTGAGGCTGTCTTGGGCGCCACAGGGGAGCAAATCCATCTGAGTTATCCTCTTGGTAGTCCGGAAGCACGGATAGGGATTATACTGCCTAGCTAGATTTCGGGTAGGGGTGAGAGGTATGTAAGAGCAGAACTTTTTATATAACAACCTGTAGAAGATACGACAGTCTAACATGCGGATATTTACAACAATACAATCAGGTATCTTCAAAGTAGTGTGATCATCCGATATAGAAGGCCAGATAAAATTGCAGTCAGGTACTACCTAATAATCGTCGCCTATTATACTATGTTCGGGGATCTCTCTGATTCTCTTAAATGGTTCTATATGTCCCAAGCCTCCCATTATTATTACTTAAGCTATACATTCGACTGATAACTAGTTTGGAATACTACCATTAACTACCCAGTGCAGCGGGCGAGGTATCCACCACTCCGACACCAGCTTCCACGTCGTCCTTCTTTAGAGTCATGCTGCTCACTTCCGACCTGGAGTGGCCGAAACGCTTGATCCCAGTGACCGTCATCGAATCAGTTTGGAGCAAGTACATGTACCAGTAGTAGACACCTGACCCTTATTAGAACGAGTTGTTCGGTCCCAAAACAGGCAGATTCACTCACCGCAAAATAAACCTCCCCCCAAGATATTGCCGATCAAGGTCGGAATGATTCCTTTCCAGATATACAGACCAACCGTAATGTTAGGAGCTCCGACCCAGATAGCCAGCGGGATAAAGATCATGTTGGCCACGACGTGGTCGAAGCCAAGAGATACGAACGCGAAAATCGGCCACCAGATGCCGATGATCTTAGAGGTGAGGTCACGGCCCTGGATGCCGAAAAAGCAGGCGAGGCAGACGAGCCAGTTGCATCCGATGCCGCGAAGGAAGATCATATGGAAATCGGGGCTGACTTGCTTTTTCGTAGCGAATGCGATGACTTGAGACTTAAAAGGATCTGCAGAGAAGACGTTGCCATCTACTTCTATATTAGTGATACTGCTCCTTCTCGGGGACTATGGAAACGTTGAGGCGATTGTACTTACACCCGAATATAATGGCAACGACGAAGAGAGACCCAGCCAGGTTACCAAAGAACGTGACAATCCAATGAATCAACATCTTATACCACGGCAACCGGCGTTGGAGAGCAGCGACAGTAGTGAACTGGTCATAATTTAGCGGCCTTTTTTACCTGCAGGGAAGGCCAGAAGCCTTACCATGAAAGATCCGGTGCAGAGATCGGCCCCAGTTAAGATAATCATACACAAGCCGTACGGAAAGACCAAAGCACTGATTGTGCGGATGAGCCCCGGGGCATTTTCCTGGAACCAGGGCGTAGTGTTAGTGCTGAGGACGGTTCCACAGGCGAAGGCAAGCAGACATCCAGCCGACACTGCGCTGAAGAAGACTTTGTCGAGACGCATATTGCCCTTGGCAACTCCAGCTCGCCCGACGAATTCGATCACCTCGGCTGGAGTGAAGGCATCCAGGCTGATTTGCGACATGTTGCTTTGGGTCTCTGGATCTAGATGGATTACACAATGACAGCTCCAGAGGAGCTCGTAGCGCAGATGCAGGGAAGCTCAACGAAGACAAGGACGATAACGCTTAGCGACACCAGCCGGTTGGGGCATGATGCCCACATATAACCCGGCATTGTAAACCTTATCAAGACATCTGCCCGGAATGAGTGACAGCGTCGAGAGACCACGATGATCGACGGCAATATCGATGATCATAACAAAGTTAAATTGGTGCTTATCGAGCGTCCGTCGCTGGGAGACGACAGCGGGTCTGCTTTCCCATGCATATTATTGAAGACCCGTGCATATTCGCCGGCATTGCAAGGGAGCAAGACTGCAAGATGGCTCCGCCGATCGAGAGATAAGAGTTGAGATAGGGAACCCTAAGTGCCTCGGGGCGAACCAGATCGTATCCACTTATCAGCCCAGTGATAAGGATTGCGACACCTTCTCCGCGGGCTCCATCGCTTTATGATAAGGGTTCTTTAACAATGTTACATTCTGACAAATCCTGTTTGATCTATAGGACAGGATCGTTCCATTGGGACTGGCCTTGTGGGAAAAGGCCCACTAGATTGCAGACCAGACCTGCATATAATAGGACTCCAAAAGAATTCCAGGTCAGGATCACCAGGCTAAAACTACAGTTTGAATGACGTCTAGGTCTTTAAGCGGTTTTTTTCCACCACTCCGGTGCTACTGATTATCTCGCGTGCATCATTGTAGAGTTTCGCTTGGTAGCTGGCCCTGGATGATCTCTCAGAGCGATATTTCTCTTCGCACCTTGTTCTCTCTATATAGCTCTCTAAGCCCTTGTCGTTAGTTTTGTACTGTTCTTGCCTGCCGTCAGTCCTATTGCTGGATTAAGTTACGGTACTAGGTGACAACTATGGAGGAGGGAAGGACTACCAAATAGCCCACAATAATAATGTTAATAACGAAGTATGGCGGAGCACAGAAACTAACGAGTAGGATGAAGAGCCGGGGAGACTCTAGAGGAAAGAAGCGATCTATGAATCGACAGGCTGCATATGAACTGATATAAGTCGACTTACTGATTTGAATCTGGCATACTCATGATGATGCGGGCTGGGGTTGAACAACTTTCTAAGAATCAAGTGCTGTACGGAGTACTTGAAATAATATTACCTAGGTTAGCGACCGAGACGAGTGGGACGCCAGGACTTCGAAGAAATGTGTCGGAGATGCGACGCTAAGGGACAAAGAAAGCGATACGGTAGATAATGTAGTACAGTGTGAAGAAGTGAAGAGGAGGATTGATTAGTGGAGGGAGGGGAAGGAAAAAAAAAAAAAGAATGGGCCCGAACCGCGGTTCGAACGCGGGGCCTCTCGCAGATTGGTACTATAGAGCCCAAAGCGAGAATCATACCACTAGACCATCCGGGCTCCGGTGAGGTGATTTTAGCTATACTGAATTATGACCTGCGGTTAGTGTTATCTACGCAATCAACTGAGCACGCCTCATAATTGCTTCTAACAAGCCCTTGCTTATACTGAATTCCTTATATAAGTGTTCAATATTGACTTATATAGAGAAGGTTATTATATAGCACCTTTAATCAGTACTCAACGCGGTCTAGTCATAGTATCATGATAACAGAGGAACCATGTAACGTATATATATCTTCGCTGGCTTAGTATAGTATATCATGATCCACCCATTGAAAAGATATCCACACCATCAATGTAATTACATAACTCATTGCGCCATAGTCAACTAAGTTAGTAGTAACTACTGCACTATCATTATCTAAGTGTGACAACCCTCGAAGAAAGATCTCATAGCATCTTTAAAGACCATACGATGAAGACTGCCAAAACAAATTACCATTACTGAAAGAGCTCAAATCCCACCTGAGACAAGGCTACAGAGCAACTCATAATATCATGCTAACCCTACTCTCTTAGCATCTTCCCACTACCTCATCTCGTTATCAACTAGCGATGATATTGCTGGCCAGAACGGCTGTTCACACTATGATACCATCAGCTTTTGGGTAACTTCAGGTTTCGCGGTTCAGTTGAATGTCCATCATCTACACTCGGTGTCTCCGGTATCTGATGGCATCTCTATATCTAAGCTACCACAGAGAAATCTACCGACAGCGGAAAATATCGAGCAGACGAAGATTTCGATGCCACACGCAGAGAAAGTTAGTCAGAAGGTATCGGAAAACGAATATGCGATGTACTAGCTGACTATATAGCAAACATGGCCGAACATTACCTTGCAAATCCACATAGCTCACCAGCTGGAGATTACAACAGACCATAATGTTATAATTAGTCTTGGGCGCTCAGCCACTCTCTCTAATTTTTGTAAATCGGCTGCGCAGCCCATCTTTGCTTTATCATGTATCATAGTCCCTCTGCCAACTTGGTCAATGCATCCCCTTCAACCATCATCTTCATCCACTCCTCCATACCCTTCGCCCCGACCTGCTCATAGAACTTGATACTGGGCTCGTTCCACTTGAGCACACTCCACTCCAGCCGGCGTCCCTTAACCTCCAGCACCTTAGCCGCCAAGTATCTCAACAGCTTGAACCCATATCCCCTACCACGAGCAGCGGGCTGCACGTAGAGATCCTCCAGGTAAATACCCGGCGCCGAGCGCCAAGTCGAGTAGTTATAGAAGAATAGAGCCATGCCTACGGGGATGGGAGTGGCATTGTCCGCGGTGGCGGGGGGAGTGATGAGCGCGGTATATACGGAGCCTCGTTTGGGAGGGCTGTCGGGGAAGGAGAGGGTTTCAAGGAGGGATTCGTTGGTGGCCTCTACTTCATGAAGGGCTTTTTCGTAGTCGGCTAGTTCACGGATGAACTGGAGGATTATGGGGACGTCTGAACCGCAGGCTAGGGTTAGTCCGGCAATTTTCAGATTTATGCGGGGCGGAACCTCCGCGGACAGCGGAATTCAATCGTAAAAAGTTGACAACGTCTGATGCTCACCTTCGGGCGTCGCGAGTCTAATGGTCGGTTGGTCAGACATTATGATGTCTAGTATTTGCCTTGCGAAGCGCTTGGCTCGTCAATTGTCAAGAAAGTCGTGAAATTTGTGACTCGGAAGCTGGAGGGGCACAAGTAGTAGAAGGATCTCCTCAGTTTAAATAATTCGTACTTGGGTTAGACCCACTGGCTATCGCTTTTAGTGGTACGCCTTTTGTTTGACATAATCCACTTGCTTTGCAACACAGAGAATAAGAACGAAGTAAATAGATGGAACAAATACGATCATGCTATGTACCAATAAATATTATAATACAGTACCTAAGCTATGCCTCGACTTTTCATAGTCTAAAATGAAGAAGTCTATCGAGACATAATAGCTGACATCCATTTTTGCTCGTCCGTCCTATTCAAGATTAGTGTCACATAGGATAAGCTTACGGAGTAGAGTAATATGGAAAAAGGTAGACATACCGATCAAAATGAAGCAGCATGCCCAAAACTGGGATGAGCTGCTTCTGGTAGTTTTTATCTTTCTGCTCCAAGAACTGGAGGAGAACGTTTTTCAAATAGAGATAGTCGATAGGCGCATTTGCTCCGCCTGTAGGCGTGTCGCTTCCCCGAATCGAAGGGCTGCGGTCCTTGGGCACCGGAGAAGTGAGTGCCCTGCGGGACCCAGAATCGATTGAAGACCGCGATGACTGAGGGTTCGTCCCAAAGCGAGCCTCTTCAGATAGGGCTTTGTTGGACCGGCGCAATTTGTCCAGACGAGCGCTGGTTTCTTCAACTGACCGGCGGAGTTCTGCCTTTTCTTTCTCTAGGTCCCGGACTTGTTTTTCACTTTCGTCCAGCGAATCACGCAAACGTGCCATGGCCTGTCGCACATCGTTGAGTTCCTGCGTCGACCGCTCGGCTTGCTCCTCCAGTTGGTCACGTCTGCGCTTCCAATCCTTCTGTGACATCTCGAGCTCCTCCTTGTCCTCCTCAGCGCTCCGCAGAGCTTTTTCCGCTTCTCGGACTTTGTTCTTCAGCTCCTCCAGCTCCCGCGCCCGACGGCGACCCTGAGCGCTAGCCTCATCTTCAGCACGATCTCGCTCCTCGATGGCTGCCTCCATCCGCTCTTTGAAATCACGAACTTTAGATTCGGCGCGGCCTTCGATGTCATTCAAGAGCCGCCGCATAGTTTCACCCTCACGGGTCCTTTCACTTAGTAACTTATGGGCATCCGCCAGTTCCTCTTCCAGACTCTCGCAGCGTTCGCGGGCTTCTTTCATCTGCATTCCGATCTCGGCGCCCTGGTCGCGCATGCTATTCATCAGACTCTGCGCGCTAGCGTGCTGGGCGGTCTTCAACTGGATCTCCTCTCGTAGACCCTCAAGGTCCTTGTTCACCTGCGTAACTTGGTTCTGAGCTTCCCGTAGCTGAGTCCGGGTGGCCTTCAAGTCTTCCTGGGCTTTAGAAAGATCATTTGAAATCCTCTCCTTCATTTCCAAAGCTTCTTGCTTCTTGCTCTCCGAGTAGCGTAGATCTGATTGAGCGACGGTCAATCTCTCTTCGGCCTTCAATCGGTTGTCCGTTTCTTGTCTAATCTTCTGGTTGAGCGTCTTCACTTCTGCCTCTCGTTCTGATATCGTGTTCTTGAAGTTCTTCAACTCAACACGTAAATCCTCTTGCTTGCCTTCGAGAGTTCTCAATTCAGCTGTCTTGGTAGCCAAGGTCTCCTTCGTAGACTTGAGCTCAGTTGATTCAGCTCGCAGTTTCTTCAGCTCAGGCTGCAGCTTCTGGAGGGTCTCTCGCAAGTCGGTGAGGTCCTTGAATCGGGTAGAAGCTAACTGCTGTGCAGCAGATAGCTCGGTTTCTAGGGTAGTAAGTTTGACCTTGAGGCTCTCATATTCCTCCTTCAGGTCATTGTGCACCTTTTCAGAGTCGGCATCCTTAGTCGCAGTGCTTGTGCGCAAGTCAACCAGCTCTTTCTCCAGTTTGGAGATGGTTTCTTCCAGAGCTTTCTTTTCTGCAGTCAACTCTTTCAGTTTATCCTTTGATTCGACATGGTCTTGTCCGAGACTAAGTAGGTCATCCCGCAGAGATTCTATCTCCTCTTTCAGGTCTTCCTCCCCTTTGAGTTTCGAGCTGAGGCGATCGATAGCTGCATCTTTTTCTTCCACTTGGCGTGTCAAAGATTCAATTTCCTGCTCGAGCTCATTTGTGTTGGACGACTTCTGTTCTGGCTCGGCTGCCGGGGTTTGCGTCTCTTCGGCAACTACAGCACTTGCAGCTTTGCTCGTGTCATCACCGCCACCCTTGCCACCTTTCTTCTTCTTCTTGTTCTTCTTCTTAGAAGCTCCTGCGGCGCCGGTGGAGTTTGCCGGTTGGGGTTTGGGTTCGGGTGTCTCGTTCTTCACATCCGTGCCGTTCTTTACAGGCGCCAGACTGTTTTGGAGCTCCTCGAAATTGGCTTGCTTTCCGCCTGCAACTTGTTCCTTGGCTTGTTTCCATGTCGTGTTGTCTTTCAGGTTGTTGTCAAGGAAATCGACAATATTCTGCAGCTCCTCCTTTCGGTTCATGTCCGCCTTCAGGCTTGTCATCGTGGTTTCCATATCCTTGAGCTGGGAGCGAAGGTTATCTACTAGGTTTTGAAGAACACCGAGTCGCTTCTCATTGGCTTCCTTTTCTTGTTTGGCCTTGTCTAATTTTGCTGCAAGTTCCGACTGCTCATCAGCATCCTCGGGCTTGGCAGTTTGCGACTGGAGCTGCTCGATTTCATCTGTTTTCTGCTTCAGCTCCGCCTTCAGCTTCTCAACCTCGTTTTGAGCGTTCTCAACGGTGGCCTCAGACGTCGCCAGCTTCGTCGTGAGCGCCTCGATCTCATCCTGCTTCGAAGTCTTGAGCTTTTCAATCTCCGAGTCTTGTTTATCCTTGATATCGCGCAGCTCTACCAGTTCTCGGGTCGCAGTTTCCAAATTGTGCACCATCCCTTCTGTTGACTCCCTTGCCACTGAGAGGTCCCGTTTGAGGTTTTCCGCCTGAGACTTGAGCGTTTCAATCTCTTCCTGTTTTTCTTTCAGCTCGGACTCCAGACGTGGGATCTCGTTATCAAAAGAGAAAAACTCTTCGCTTTCTTCCTTAGCGGAATCCTGCTTCGAAGCCGTGGAGGATTTATCATTTAGGGTAGAGTTATCGACGACCGTCTTATCGCTTATTGTCGAGGCATCCTCTTCCTTCTTATTCTCCTTAAGATTAGTGAGCTCATCGTATGCCGCCTTTGTGGCCTTCTGAGCCTCCTCCATTTTGTTCTTGTAATCATCTCTCTCTGTGGACACCCGCTTCAGCTCCTCAACAACCATGTCACTTTTTAGTGAGAGTTGGTTAAGATATTCTGTCAACGCCTTCGGATCGCCAATAGAAGCCAAGGGGGTGTTCTCACGCAAAGCCGCTTCGAATGGTTCAATCGATAGGACACGCGAATGGGCCATCCGATAAGCTTTCAAGAGCTCTATAGATCACACAACGGTTAGCGCCGTGGCCCAAGTCACCGTCGTATTGACCCAGTACATACCCTGATACCGAGACTCCAGCTTGCCCAACCTCCGCAGCTTCACCCTGACCTCAGGCGGCAGCTCCGAAGAAGATTGGTTTGTCTCTGTTGTATTCGTATTCTCCTTGCCGGCGGACACCTCTTCCGCGGATGGGTTGCTCTCCCCGGCGTTTTCCTCCGAACCCGCGGACTCTAAGCGGGGAGTAGCTGATCTGCTAGAGCCTTCATCCTCTCCGATGGCGAACTCGGGCTCGAATTCGTTGGGATCCGGCCCACGGACGGGGGTGCCGGTATTCCGTCGGGGGCGGGTAGTTCGTCTGCTAGGGGATACATTGCGAGTGGGACGACGAGCGGAGTTGGAGCGGGCGAGGGAGTCCTGGGCAGACTTTTGCCGGGCTTGCTCCTCTGCAATCCGGGAGTCGATTGCGTCGCGGATACGCTGTTTGTTGCGATCAGGCCGCGCGTTAACATATCAAATCCGGGGAATTTGTTCGACACGTGAGGCTAACCCCCGAAGGAGTTCCATAAATAACTGGATCCGGAGATACTGTACCTGAAACATGACCGTGGCGGGCCTGTGAGCCAGGGCCACAGCTTGATCAATGAGATAGAAACAGGCGAGAAAGAGACGAGAAGCAGTTATTAAAGTAAGAAGGAGAAGGTAAAGAGTGGAAGGGGGCATAGGACAGATCGACTAGGCGGTGGTGATTCGTCGTCAGCGGGATGTGCTGCTGCGTTGACTTGATTGGGTCGCCAAGACATCCAAGCAGTTGGCAGAAAAAAAATAGAATAACAGTCCGAGTATACCAACAATTCATCTTTGACCGGTTGACAAGAGGTTGCCAAGATGATACTCCCTGGACAAGTAGCGCTACTTTCTACTTTCTACTTTCAAATTAACTATATTTTTTCTACCAATTTATGATTCCAACTATCGCCGGTACTGCATAACTGACCCGTTTGGCTCCCATTTTCTCCTAAATAGGCTGATCATCGGCAATTGCAAGTATAAGGTAAGATGTTCAAATTGGAACTGAATCAGTTAATTCAGTCAAATAACAAAGAAAGGGAAAAAAAAAGAATAAAAGAAAGCAGAGACTATACGAAGTTATCTTGATCTTGTTACTATCACATGATATACTAGCACAATTGTTTGTGCATAAGTGCATTAGTGACTAACCTAAAGCATAGCAGATACATATTCACAATATTATGCAGAAGCATGACGTCGACCCCAATTTTTTATTTTATCTTTTATTAAACGGTTTTACTTCCAGTCACTTGTTTTAGTTACGTCCTTGCCATTTTAGGTTACGGGAAAATTTGCAGGTGGATCCGTCGGAAGTGCATCCACAATCAGGCACATCCTCAGTCTCGACCTTGCCAGGCATATGCCAAACGTAACAGATATGGGTCCTTCACATGATGGACCAGCATACTCCTCAGTAATATACTCTTCTCGAAGGTTCGTCTATTACTATTCATTTGCTCGTTTCTTCTCATTTCCTCTATATTCCGAAGTCCAACAAACATAGAGAGGTCCAATTGACCAAGGTGCACTCCCGTGATCGACCTAAACTAAATTCGTATTGCTTTCCTTCTCCGCTTTCCGACTTGATCCTACAAAACCAAACCCGTTCCAAACTCAAAAGGGACCCTTAATTCTTCAACGACCCAGCCAAGAGGGCATCTGAGAGCACGTTGTGGCTCGTGAGTAGGGGGGTGGTTGACTACATTACTCGCATCTGAGTCCCTGAGCGAAAGTGAATCATTCAATCAATCTCGC